ATCTTGTAGATTGCCATTAAGATGTTTGACTGGGAGACCTCCTGTTGCCAAGACCTACGGTGGAGTGGTGATCAAATAATTCCCATCATTTCTTCATTATTGGTTATATTCATTTTCGGTGACAGTGACAAATATTTCAGCTCATGGTTTTGGGCATTTCATTCCATGACCAGTTGGCTGTGTGGCCTTTGGGCCTATGCAAGGTGGAACCTGAAGTGGAGGAGGAAGCTACTCACCTCCTGGGAGCCAAGAAGCAACAAAAAGAAGGGGCCACAGTGCCAATATCTTTTCAGAAACATGACCCCAGAAACCCTATTCTTCTGTTAGCCCCATTTGAAGATTCTACCCCCTCACCATAGAGCCACCTTCAGGGGATGGGGTAGACCCATGCTTTGATGCATAGGTTTGGGGTACATTTTGTATCTACACTATAGCACTGATCATCTTTCTGGTCACTGACGTGGAACGAATATTAAAAGTGATTTTTCCCTTCTGGATTGATGCTAGAGAAACAAGTTCTGTCCCTGGTCATCCCTGAAACTCATGCTGGGGGAGAGAGTAGAGGGCGGAACCCCGTTGACTTACTCTTAACAAGCCCGACTGCATGCCTGCTGTGCACCTTGCTGGCTCCCTCAGATGTTCTATTGTGAGCTCATGGATCAGCTGCAGAGAGAGCCATACTCAGACACTTTCAAGGTGTGGGGTTGAAAAGCTAAAATGGTTTTTGTTTCCAAGAATGAAAGCTGCCCTCCCAGACAGTGAGTAAGAAAAGTAGCAGCTGGCAAGCTTGTCTGAGCTTCTCACACTTGAGACTTGCATGGAGAAATTTGTCACAACCTTCAACCTTGCCTTAACCCCAGAGTCAGTCAATTAGGAACAGGGTTTATTAATTAACTATACTAAGGACAAGGGGGGCAAGTGATGGTATAAGCCTGGAGAGAGACCTGAGCGTAGATAGGTAAAGATGGAAGAGCTTCAACTCCATGTGGTTGTGTTTTGAACCTCCACACGTGTGCCCTGGCATACCCTACTATGCTCCCATAATAATACTAAATAGTTAGTTTACAAATGGAGCCAGCTCAATTCTGATTTAGGTTGATAATCATTTAGACCTCAGAGTTTGAGATATGAAGGAGGGTGGTGTGTTGGTATTAGGACTGAAAAAAATCAGAATTACAGGGACACCTTTTTTTGTATAACGCACACATTTCTTCAGCCTTTCCTGCCATTTTGGTCTTTCTGTCCAGGTGACCCAGTTGTAACTCATGAGGCTATTATTTTTTTCTTTTTGGTTGGGTGGGTGAAAGAGAATATTTAAGAATCAGTGGACTTAAGCAGTTTTAGGCACAGTCCAGGTTGAGAGTAGTTAACAAGATGCTTCTCAGTCCCATTGATGTATATTCATTATAAGTGACCCTGGGTTACATAAAGAGATTCTCATATGAATATATAATGTCCTTTGGGTATATTCTTGTCCCGTACCCATGCCTTTCCCTTCCTGTTAGATGCCCTTACTCCCCTAAATAGTTTTGGTTCTACTTTAATATTATATTTGCATACATGATTTTACATGTCTGTAAAAATTGGGAGCCAAAAATGAAAAGAAAAATCTGGCAGGTGTCTTCCTGAAACGAACTTAATTCACTTAATACAGTCAGGTCCAGATGTGTCCATTTTCCTGCAAATTATAGAAAATTGTTCTTTGTAACTAAAAAGAACACCATTCTTCATGGTCAACACACTTTCTGATGATGGTTTTACTTCCTGTTGACATTGCTGGGATCTAAGGATCTTAGAGAGAGCCCGACCCCAGCCCCTCTAACCTTGATACACCCCGACCCTCCTGTCAGGCAAGGGATGCAGCAGAGAAGACACATTTCCAGACCCTCCCATTAAGCACGCTTGCCAGCTGTGTCTTCGTGGACTGAAAACCACGTGGTCTGGGTGCTTTGCTCATGAACAGCTGTGGGCTCTGTGAAGCCTCTGCCAGAGAGAGGCCAGGAGGAAGGCAGGCGTGCTACAGCTTCCCCAGCTCACAGCTCATCCTGGGAACAGCACGTCTCAGGGTCCTGCTGAGGGTTATGCTGCTGGTGTGTGGACCTCACTTTGATCAGCAAGGACCTGAGAGGAGTCCTACTGTGTGGGTTAGCTGTGAACTGTAAGTGCAGTCTTCTCTTTATAGACAGAGAGTTCTCCTTTCCAGTCCAAGAACAGACAAGTCTCCTACCTCTTATTTAACTCTGGTCCTGAAAATCAGGAAGTCATCTGCCTCTCTCCTCACTTTCTTGGGGTTCTGTTTGTCTTCAGTGGCATAGAGATGTGGACGAGGACAGAGCAGGGGATAATGGGCTGTGTGGGCTGAAAGAGGATGGCACGGGCCAGGCTGCACATGTTTTAAATTAAGATGGCTCACAGTCATGATGCCTCCTTTGGGCTTCTAGAGTTTACCAATGGATGAAAGAGTTTTAAATCTGAACTCACAGAAATGTATTATCTTTATATAGATCGCAACTGCATTTTTAGGAGCATTTTATTTCCCATCTGAATTAGTTACCTGTCTCATTACTGTGATATTACCTGATAGAAGCATCTGGAAGAAGGAAGGATTGCATTTGGCTCACGGTTTAGGGGTAAACAGTTGCCTTATAGCATAGGTTATCCTGAATATCACTGTCCTTCTGCCCCTGAGATTACAGGTATGTGTCACTATGCCATGCCTGGCGCCTGGCCTGAGCTGTACCGATGAGTCCCTCATGAATAACTGTCATGTAAGATTATCCAGTCCTATGTAAGCATCTATTCTGTCATCCCAGACGGGTTCCTTCCTCTCCTCCCCAGCGTGTGCTTCACCGTGTTCTTTGCACACATCATGGCAGGGAAGGCATGGCAGCAGCTGGTCACGTTCTGTCTGCACTTAGGAATCAGAATGATGAACGTCGGTGCTCAGCTTGCATTTCCCTATTGAATTTAGTCTAGGACCCCAGGCCAGTGAATGATGTCACATACATCTAGGGTGGATCTTCCCACATAAATTAATCTCCTCATGAAGTTCCAATACACGCGCCCAGAAGGTTGTCTCTCAGGTGACTTGAAAACCTGTCATGTTTACAATTACACCACGCCAACAGAGGATGGGTTTTGGCCAAGAGGATTTGCCCCATCTCTCCTCCTTACTAGCCCAGAATAGTACTGTCCTCCATTGCTGTGCAGCAGGTGGTGTTGATGGTAAAACCAATGAAAGTTTCTGGTGACAATACACCTGGGTAGACACTTCCCCCCCACATAGCAATGCAGAAATACACCTGTTTGCCAAATGCCCAGTTAAAATGGAGACAGTTACCGAGGTAGGAACTTCCGGGAGATTCTGTTTGTCTGGCATGGATTTGAAGATTAGTGTCCACTTATATTTTCTACTCACTAGCAAACTCCCGGCTTCTGTGCCGGGAAGGGTTTACAAAGGCACAGACTTCGTCCTGACAGCGTCCACTGTTGGGGAAACATAGACATTTTAGATGACTGTAAAAACAGCTCCTAAGCCAACTTCCTGGGTTACCGCCCACCACCTGGTTTGTTTTCTCTGTAGCACTTCCTGTGAAGTGATGGACCCAGTCCTTGCTTGTGTCTCCTCAGAACTCCCCAGTCTGCCCCTTGGCCATCAGTTGTATGACTGTGTGCTGCCCAGAGGGTGTGAAAGGAGCTTTCTCCAGCCCGGGTGCTCTCTGGGGCCTGCAGCCTCCAGGGTCTGTGCGTAGGCCAACTGAGGCAGCCAGAGCTGTTCTCAAACCTAATTACCCAATTTTCTGGTTACAAGGTGGATCATTGTGTCCCACCTAGGAGGTTCTGATCCAGCAGGCCTACTACATGGTCAGAGAATTTCTAGTAATATCTAGGTCATGGTGATGCTGTTGTCCCTTGGATCACACAGAAAAACCATAGGGTGGGGCCTCGGTGTGCTCCACTGTTTCTGGTGGGTGGATTGAGATGGCTCAGAAGCTATGCAGTGTCTCCATGAGGGAGAGTGGGACTGGAAAGAAAGAGACTTCACACTCAGGTGACAGCAGAATTCCTAGGCTTGGGGAGAGGAGTAAAAGGAGCCCTTAGGAAAGGAATGTGAAGAACACAGGTGAGACGGTGAGACAGAGGCCTGGGAGGGGAAGAAGGTCCTTCGGGACAAGAGAAAGTAGATGCTTAGGCAGCACTGGAGGATTCTACATGAATGTGAAAGAGGCTAAAATTAGCAGTGTGACTCAGAGCTCAGGCAGGGCCTGGCGTGATGCCACTTACCTGTAATCCCAGCACTCAGAGGCAGAGGCGGGAGGGTGATAAGTTTCAGGCCAGTCTTGGCTATATAGTAAGACATATCTCAAAATGTGGAGTTATCAGCAATAATAGAAAACTCTAGGAGATAATTTTGAACCAGAGATATAGATTTCGGCGTCTTCAAGACTGCGGTTTAAGCTGGCACTATGGGACTAGATAGGCCTGATGAAGAGCAGCTCAGAAGAGCAAAAGTATGTGGTGCTCAGAGGAAGCCACGAACTGGGCTGGAGAGGTGGCTCAGTGGGTAGGGATACTTGTTGTGCAAGCATGAAGACCTGAGTTCAGATCAGCATCCACACAAAACAGTGGCCATGACTCTGTGTGCCTATAAGCCAGCTCTGTCCAGGACAGAGGCAGGAGGATTGCTGAGGCTTGCTGGTTGCCAGCCTAGCTCAGGGCTCAATGAGAGACCCTGTCTCAAAGGAATAAGACCAGATGCCATCCTTTGGATTCCTCATGAATATGCATGGATGTGTGCACTCTCTCTCACACACCTATGCATACACCACACACACACACACACACACACACACACACACACACACACACAGGGAAAAATGTGAGTCAAGAACACTTTCTCCTGGGGGTCTTTAACTGTTGTCTCAGAATCAATGTGACTAGTTTCTAAGGATGCCGTGTCCAGGGACACAGACTCACTGACCTGTCTTCTGTCTTTGCAGTTCTGTACAGAGCTAAACCAGCCGATCCTGCCCAACATCCGAAAGTGGAAGGGGTCCCGAGGATGCTGGCGGTCTGTTATTGCTGAGAAGCCTTCGAGTCAGCTCCAGAAGGTACCTGCCTTGCACAACTGCCCTGTGTGTTTTTGTACTTAAACACAATATTTCCCACAAATCAAAAGCAATTTATATTTTGGGGGGAGTGAAGGTAGAGGTTGCCATCCAGTGTCTTCCTCCATTGCTCTCTGTCTTTCATTTTCTTGAGAAAAGATCTCTCAATGAACTGGAAGATTACAGATTCAGACTGGGTAGTCAGTGAGCTTCAGGGATCCACTGTCTCTGCCTTCTCCCCCAACACTGGGGTTACAGGCACAGGCCACTGCATCCAGCTTTTTAGGTGGGTTCTGGGCTCCCTGTGCTTGGGTAACAGGAACTTTACTGACTGAGCCATTTCCCTAACCTAGGTTCTTATATTTTTAAGAATATTTCTTATAATTACTTGAGTTGAAAAACATTTTTATGATTTTTGCACAAATGCAGATATTTTTAAGGTTCTACTATACCTCTTCAGCTACAACATTATGAATTGTATTTACATAATGGATACTTGTAATTTGGGCTCTTAAATTGTCAATGGAAACTGAATTAAAGTTATCTGTCCATTTATTCATATTGACTGTAAGACCCTCCTCTTTTCAGTGACCACTGAAAACTGTGTGTCGCTCCTTTCCCTGGGTTTGTTGTTTAGGAGTGGGAACATCCTCACAGTGGACAGTGAGTTCACAGTGGGCTGAAAGGAGCTCATGCAGGCTGCATCTGGTTTTCAGAACGTAGCCCAGGGTCCTTCCTTTCAGTCTACACAAAAAGCAATGCCACATTGCTTTTATTATTATTATTATTATTATTATTATTATTATCATTATTATTATAGCATTTCACATGGATATCAGTGTGTAAAAATTCATGTGACTCTTAGAGTCCATTCATCTTTATTCACTCATTCATTCAGAAAACCATTCATGAGGGGTTATTTGTGTATGTGTGAGGAAAATCAGACCAGCAGACCAGCCCTATCTGTTACCTCTCTTTTCAAGAACTGCTGGATACCACAGCTTCTTTCACCAAGTTACAGCCATTTAGTGGAACGAGTCAGGTCACGTTGCTTTAGGAGGGGAGCCCAGGTCATCAGAGTATGGTCACTGAGGGCTCTTGGCCTTAGTTGTGTCTGTCATCTGTAGCCTCTGCCTTAGCTCACAGGACAGCCCCAGTATAGGAGGAAACAGTGAGTGCTGGGGTACTTCAGTACCGGAGCACAGACCAGGGCTGCAGCCATATCTAGGCCTGGCCACCTGTTATCATGGAGTATTATGAGTTCAGTGGGTCAGAGCCACCCAGATTAATGGCATGTGTGGTTTGCTTAATTTTGAAAATGCATAGATCCAAGAATTAATTTTCAACGCAATGTGAGTCAAACATCATATATCCATGGCCATCTACAGTTTATATGCTGACCAGCTGTTGTGTCTCTGAGTCCTGGAGTCATATCCAGGTACCAACCGGAGGGCCAGTTTCCAATGAGAAAGCAGAGAGATGTGGGAAGAAATTATTTTCCCCAAAGCAGGCCCCTGTGATTGGAAGTGGCAATCTACCCTGAGTCCAGTGAACTATCTCTGGCATAAGCGCTTTTCTATGGCTATGTCCATCCTGGCATAATATGACCTAGATCATATTTGGGACCCATGCCTGTGAGGGGGTCAGAAGGAAGATGTGTAGGGATGAGAAAGGTCCAGAGAAGCTGGGCGTGTGTTAATTGGGCCTGAGGGGGTGCATCGGAAGGGAGTCATCTCGGGAAACCTCCTCCTCCCGTGTCCTGGAGGATTCTAGGGCTGGGGTGGTTTTTAGGCAGATGGCGTGAGTGATGCCCTGGAACTTCTCCTCGGAGAACAATAAACAGAACAACAGCCTCAACTCCAGAGCCCGTGGCTTCATTCTCTCTCTCTTCATGAGCCCTAGACACCCTGCGGGGCTTGCCTGGGTCCCATGGTTCCTGGACACAGCTGGACTGAGACCAAGGTGTGACCATGCTTAAACTAGTGCCTGCTTTAGTGGTGGGCAAGGGGATCTTGCACAGCATAAAAGGCTCACATTCGTGCCCCCCCTATTTCTGTCCTGAACACACCTGTTCAAGGGTACCTGTCAGATGTCCGTCTGGGATCTGAGTTGACGTTGTATGTGTGACAGCAGCTGTTCAGAGGTGGCCAGGGTTACTTCAACAAAGAGGAGCAGTGACAAGTGCTGCTGGCCTGGTAGCCTGGTGGCCTGCTGATCTGTCCCTGGTACCACACACTTAGGAATGCCCTGGTGGCTAGCAGTGGCTCAGCTGGAGTAAACAGACCGAAGCTTTTCTTGTTCTGCAAGCTCCCAGAGGCATGGGAAGAAGGAGGCAGCGTGGAAGCTACTTCTCTGATTCCTAGAGCCAGAAGGTGTCCCAGAACTGTGTCCACTGCACTCTAGGTTTGTCTGCACCTCTTCATCAGGGCCTCCGAACCAGGCTTCAGACCTGTGTGCGTCCCTGCCCATCTATGTGCAGAGGGCCCTTGTTCAAATCACTAGAACCGTTAGCTTCTGTTAGTCCGGCAAATACCAGGTGAGAAATGACTGGGTGCTGGGCACCATTTCTGTAAGCAGTGACTTATCAAGAAGCAATGCCTGCCCCTCAGGGTCTTATCTTTGAACCCTCACATTGGCACTTATGCCGTGGGGCTTTAGGGAAGTTACTCAATCTCTCTGAGCAGCAGTGGCCTCATCTGTCAAATGGAGATGTGGGCTGTTGCCTTGTGGCATATGAGGGTTTAAAAAGTGACTCTGGGCCTGTTCTATGTTCCCCATACCTCCTGCCATAGAGGGAGGAGATGGGCAGCCTTGGCCATGAGTAAGACTCTGCATGGGCATGGGTGCTGGGTGCCCTGTGGCTAACACCCTGTGTGAGTGACCTTGAGAAGCAGAGCCTGCTGCTGAGTCTGTTTGGTCTCTGCTCTTCTCTCTGTTGTGTGGCTCTTGTACCAAGACCATGTTTCCATCTACACTGCAGGGCCCCTGCTTCTCTGGATTCCTGTGGGACACAGCAGCTGGTGTGGAACTGAGGGACATCTCCGGGCAGGAGAACTCACCCAACAACGGTCATGGGAAGGATGTGGGTCCAAGCCCATTCCTCGCGAGATTCAAGGTACTTGATTCTGTCATTTCTGAAATCCAGTCCCTTCAAAAGGGGAAGTCTTTGTGACACTGGGACCCAGAGAAGTCACATCTTCTCACTTGATTTGTTTTCTCTTAGAGGAGGATCAGTGCCCATTCTGGAGGCTCCCCCAGCAGGGGACCTTCTACAGGATAGTAGTGAAGGGATTTTTGAGGGACTTTTAACCCCAGAAAAATCTAACCATGATCAGAAGGAAGACAGTCACCTGGAAGGAATGGTACACCTTTGTTGTCTCAGCAGAAGGATGACTTGAGCGCAGGAGTTCAAGACCATCCTAGGCAGTGTAACAAAACTCCTCACAAACAGGTAGATAGATTGATAGACAGACAGCAGACAAACAGATGGACAGACAGACAGAAGAGAAGGAAGAAAAGTAGAAAACTAATTCATATGGCTGTTCCCAAACACGATGTACAGCAGAATCACCTTTCTTAAGATCAGGCATTCCCAAGCTTTGCCCTTCTGGGATAGGGCCCAGGCCATTTTCAGAAGTATGTGCAGTGGTCCTACCTGCCTGGTACTAGTTAGTGTGGGCAGTGGTGCTACCTGCCTAGTACTAGTTTGTATGTGCAGTGGTCCTATCTGCCTGGTACTAGTTAGTGTGGGCAGCGGTTCTACCTGCCTGGTACTAGTTAGTGTGGGCAGTGGTGCTACCTGCCTAGTACTAGTTTGTATGTGCAGTGGTCCTATCTGCCTGGTACTAGTTAGTGTGTGCAGTGGTCCTACCTGCCTGGTACTAGTTAGTGTGTGCAGTGGTCCTACCTGCCTGGTACTAGTTAGTGTGTACAGTGTCCCTACCTGCCTGGTACTAGTTAGTGTGTACAGTGTCCCTACCTGCCTGGTACTAGTTAGTGTGTGCAATGGTGCTGTTCTAAGGAGCCCCACCTTTTCAGCTGCCCCTCAGGTCTCATTGTTTAGATGACAGAAAGAAGGGGCCCATTGAGAGCTTAGAAGGAGTTCTGGGCTTACGGAACCTGTCACTGGCATTTCCAGCCATATCCTTGCCCGTGAAGGAACCCTGTCAGTTGTGTCTGAGAACAGCTAGGCAGGTAGATCTGAGTGCCATCCTGTTGTGGCCTGCATGCCTCTGGGGAGAGTTCTGAATAGCCACATGCTTTGATGCTGGACAACACAAGGGAGGAAGCCAGAGGTTACTACAGAGGCAATGAACCTCATCACTACTTAGCTGTGAATTCCAAGTCAGACAGCTTGATCCTTTGCAAGAGCCCAGGAAGCCCGTTCTCTACTAGGCATTGAGAGTCTTTCTTTCCCTTGCTCCCCAGCAACTCTAAGCTCAGCACCATTTAGCTCTAGCAGGGGGCGGGGCTTGGGGACAGCCTGTGGCATGGGATGTTTAAGCCCATGCATCATCTCTTAGATTTGTAGCTGCAGAGGTTATGGGATTGGTGTATGCTCACATGCAGATGTGTCTGTTGTGGTACGCAATGGCTCCTTCCATCCCTCTTCCTGCTATATCGACAAGGTTCTGTCTGCACATATGGCCCCTGTGGTTCTGATACATGAGTTGGCCAGGACTGTCTTTAAACCTGACACCACACTTAAGTGCTAATTATTCTGACCCTGGTTTACTGAATCAGCACCCACAACCAGCTCAAGTAGCTAAAAGGCAAGCTGGTATATATTTTTTGGTACTATTATTATTTTTTGAGAAAGAATCTCCCTGTGTGGCCTGCATAGTGGCCTCCCAATTCTGCCCCCTCAGCTTCCCAAGTGCTGGTATACAGAGTGAGCTACCATACCCAGCACCTCACAAAAACAACTTGTAAAACACTGCTTTTAAGTTAACATGAAAAGGCAAAGTATTTTTATTTTTTAATTAATTTATTTATTTTTAACTTTATTTCATGTACTTTGGGCTTTTGCCTGTAAGTATGTCTGTGTGAAGGTGTCCAATCTCCTGGAACTGGAGTTGTAGACAATTGTGAGCTGCCACGTGGGTCCTCTGAATTGAATTTGGGTCCTCTGGAAGAGCAGCCAGTATTCCTAACCCCTCAACCATTTCTTCAGTCCCAGTAATTTATTTTTAAAAGGCTAATAAAAACTATACTAACTGTGACATCAGGAGTGATGGCTTCAAGTCATGTGAAGCAGTCACCCAGGGCAGCCCTTGACTTCTTCTTCAAATCCTGAATCAAGGAAGACCAATGGTGCAGGACACACAGAGAGCGTATCCTTCCAGGCCAAGTCTTAAGGTGTTTCTCTGGCAGTGGCAATAGCAGTTGTAGAGTCCTGGGTGTGATGATGGTGAACTGGGGGCACATCTATAAGACAAGACCAGCCCTCTGCACTTCTTGGGGCCCCTACAGTCATTCTTTCTCAGAAGTGTTTAGTGTTTGTTGCCATGGCAATTGCAGTGGCAGAATTGCTAAACCCAGAGCAGCTTAGCAATGTCACGATCACCCAGAAGATAAACTGCCCTTATATGTACACACTTGAAGACCACAAGGGCCACCTTGGTGCCCAGTCTCTGGGTTTATCTTCTGCCCAGAATTGGTGAACTTTGGTTTTCACAGAGGAAATCAGGTTAAAGTGGATGTTAGCACACAGTTGGTTCCAAAGGAACCAAGAGGACTGGGTGGGGGAACTTCAGGCTAGTCTTGTGGACCACAGCCTTGTTTCTGTAACATTTAGATGCTAGAGACACCTCCTTCTTGCATACTATTGCTCAAAAGGTTTTCAAAAAACCAGAACACTTCCAGATACTTGAAGGTTTTTAGATCTGAAGGAATAGAGGTAGGAGGCTGGAAGGGTGTTAGTGCTGGGCTTTAGAGTACAGGAATTTAAAATAAAATACCTCGGGTTGCCTCCTCTGCGTGTGAGCTAGCTTTGCTTCTGTTTATCATTGTCAACTGTGTGCGTGGAGCTATTTGTTAATCAGGTGTAAAAGATAAAAGAAACATGAGTGAGCTTTTTCCTTTTGCTGCGTTTCCTGCTATCTAGGTGGGAAATAACGACCTGACCCTGGTGAACCTTCAGCTGACAGCCCTGGCCCTCCCAGGAGCTGAGAATTCAGGCAAGAATCAAGGCGATGGCCACCGGTTGTTGAACTTTGCTCTAACTCTGCAGGAAACTCTGAAAGGTACGGGTTCTCTTTCTCTGTGACTGGGCAACACTTTAGGGCAGGCAGTGGTGCCTCTTTCCAGACATCTCTCTGGCCTCTTAGCCCAGCCACTCGCCAGCAGTCATGGACTCAGGGGCAACCACACTCCCTGCTCTCGTGGCGCCTAACTGACCTTTCCACGTAAGCCACCTTTGTGTTGAGGGCCTCTCCAGCGGGTGTGATTGTCAGCAATGTGGTCTCTCAGCCTTTTGGATAAAGAGAACTGGAGGAGCAAATGTAAGTGGTGATATTCCTCCCCTGTGACAACACATTCTGGTCTACTCCTCTGGGGGCACCACCTGTAGATCTGCACAAGCTCTTGTGAAAGAGAAACAGGAGGTGGGGAGGTGAAAGAATCACATCTGGAGACCTTGAGATGCCTCCCGTATTCTTGAGTCTTGACTGCTCCCCTAGCTTCCGAGACTTCTTGCCATCAACTTGTCCCATCACAGTGGGAGACTCGGTAAATATTTAGCTACAGACATGTTTCTGTTCCGTTATAACCTGCATTTTAAAACAGACATAAAGCTTGCCATTATGATGATTGGTAAGTGTGCAGTGCACACCATTATGATGTTTGGTAAGTGTGCAGTTCACACCATTATGATGATTGGTAAGTGTGCAGTGCACACCATTATGATGTTTGGTAAGTGTGCAGTGCACACCATTATGATGTTTGGTAAGTGTGCAGTTCACACCATTATGATGATTGGTAAGTGTGCAGTGCACACCATTATGATGTTTGGTAAGTGTGCAGTGCACACCATTATGATGATTGGTAAGTGTGCAGTTCACACCATTATGATGATTGGTAAGTGTGCAGTGCACACCATTATGATGATTGGTAAGTGTGCAGTGCACACCATTATGATGATTGGTAAGTGTGCAGTTCACACCATTATGATGTTTGGTAAGTGTGCAGTGCACACCATTATGATGATTGGTAAGTGTGCAGTGCACACCATTATGATGTTTGGTAAGTGTGGAGTGCACACCATTATGATGATTGGTAAGTGTGCAGTTCACACCATTATGATGATTGGTAAGTGTGCAGTGCACACCATTATGATGTTTGGTAAGTGTGCAGTGCACACCATTATGATGATTGGTAAGTGTGCAGTGCAGTGCGTCCACACCATTGTGCATCTGTCGCCACCTCCCATCTCCAGAGCACGGTCATTTTCCTCCAGAAACTGGCCCCACTGAATCCTGATCATACTATCTTTCCGTATGTGCGAATTTGACAACATGCTTCGTATAAGGACATGATATTTTGTTCCCTTTGTCTGGTTTTTCTCACTTAGCTTATACTTTCCAGATTAGTGTGTTGTATTGTGTGGTAGGCGTTCCATCCTTTTGTGGCTAGATAATATTCTCTTGTCCATGTGTGCCACGTTTTCTTGTTTATGCACACATCTGTTGGTTGGCTCTTCGTTGTTTCCGCTTTTGTGCACTGTGACTATGAAGGTGCAGGTGTATGTTTTAAGTCAGGACCTGCTCTGATTATATTCTACTTAGATGATGACTCTTGGGGCTGAGAAACAATTGAGCAAACAGTTCAAACTGAGGCACCCCATCCAACAAGTAGTTGTGTGGGAAACTCTTCACTCACAGCTACTCTCTCACTTATTCCAAGGATGGCTTGAGACTGTGCATATCGGCAGACATTTCTATTTGTCTCTGTCTCAGAGATGCAAGAAAGAAAGATTCTGGTTCATATTTTTTCCGATTTGCCCCCTGGCTCCAGGGAAAACTCAGGACTTGGTCAGGAAATTTCAGGCAGGCTCCACATTGCCAAGGGACTGCTGACTGACCCACAGCGTGACTCAGCTCTGACACATCCAGGTAGGGACAGTGACTCATACCCCCCACGTCCCTGCTTGTCACTAATACCAAGTTAAATGTTAACTGGTGACCCAGCAAATTCAGGAAGTCCTCCAGCCCGCAGCAAAGGAAAATCGATGAGCTCGGGGTTCTGTTCAAAGGGAGATAAAGCCTTTCCACAGAAAGAAAGAGCAGCTGATTTGCAAACTCCAGGCCTTTCTGCCTTTGTCTAGAATGTGAATCCCACTTGGCACCAGGGATCCCATGCTTGTCCTTTTCCAGAACTAGCTAAGAAGCCTTGAGGACGGGGTCTCCTAGCGTGCCTGCTCACACATCTGGAGGAGTGCACCTCAGTGGAGAGCTGTTTCACTCATTGTTACTGGCCCTTTCTAAATCAGGAATCTCTGGGGAAATTGGCCCAGCACTTTCTCCCCTCATGGGAACTCAGGGAATGGTGACTAGGGAGCCTACCCTGGCAGGCGAATTTGGGCTTCTGTGGCCGCACGTTCTCAGGGGCAGAGCTGCTGCCTTGTCACCTCTGACACACATTTAGCCGGAAGAACAAGTTCTAAGAAATATGGATGTGCCCATTCAAAAGGAGCCTTTGTGTTCATGTGCAAAACTACACAGAGCTGGCGGCTCGACCCCGACACCAGCCTCCCTCCCGCTCGCTGAGTTGCGTTTTCCCACCAATACTCAGGTCTGCACCCCCACTGAAAGCCTTCTTCATTTATATGGAATTGTGTGCCTCGGTCTCCCAGAACGCTGGGTTTCCCTACCCAGTCCATGTGGTAGCTTTTGCCTTTATTCAGAGGTCTTCCTCCTACCACACTCGGTTCATTGTCTCATGGGCAGCAGGCCCTGGTCTGAGTTCTTCGTTTGTTAGGATGAACAGCAGCCCTGGACCTCTTCCTCCCTCCTCTTTGTGAAAAACTCTGGGTTTGAGGGCCACCTCCATGACTTTGGGCAAATTTTTCAGTTTCCAGAGTCTGAGCTTTCTACCTACAAAGAAGAGAAGGTGGCCTCGCCTGTCTCATGGGAACTGTGGCACTTAAATGATTTGCTGTCCAAGGAGTAGTCAGGGAGGGCTTGGTAACCCTGGTCACCAAGGGCTCATTGACCCTGGTCATGTATGGACTGTGGTCAGCAATACTCTCAAGTTGGTTTTACTGTTAGAAACTGGCATTGATTTCCCCAAAGAGCCCGGGCTCACCCAGATTTGTACTGTGCACGAAATCTACATGTGAGGAAGTGGAGTAGCAGGAGAGACTTCTATGGAGTCCTGCTGGAGGAGGGCGTTATTTGCAGCACACAGGTGCCCCCTGCTGGCCTTTTGTGTCATTTCACTTTACATGTCTTTCCCTTCAGCTATTACTAATACTGCATACTCTACCGAAGAGAAGGAATTTGCTGGAGGGCTGGGTATGCTATTTTGTTTATGGATTGCTTTCTCTAAAGTGCCTGTCACAGAGCACATCAGAAACCTCATTACCTACGGCCCGTGACTCCCCTACAGTGACCTCCCCACAAGGGTCAGCCCTGTCCCTGGGAATCTGGCAGAGCCTGGCTGGTGGCCATTGTTCTTTCTGAATTCCTATGAACATTACGTGGGAAACACTTCATAATCATTCCATTTCCTGCAGGCTGTGAGAGAAACATCTAAAATACTTCAAAGAGACAGCCCCTCCACTCAGCCCCTGCCCTCTCTTTGTAGCCCTCCCTTATACACAAGGAAGTCATTTCTGCTGCTGCTTCTCTGGGAGAACCTTTTTAGTGTGGCTCAGGGCATCAGGAAGGAGGCTCGTGCTGCTTGGGAGATCCTGTGCCAGGCATTCATGGGAACTCGGGTCCTCCACATCCAACAGCAACCATCAGGAAAATGCTGAGAGGGTGGCAGTGCCCAGAGTCACCCAGCTGCTTTCTTCTAGGATGGGGACAGGAAGCAGTGTTGACTGAAAAGCTACTTTGTAGAGTTGATCTGCTTAGCCACTCTGCTAGCCAGTGTGGGAAGCCGAGACAGGGCAACGCATATCCAAAGCCTGCCTGGATTACAGGGTGTTGGGCAACTTTGTTATTAATTTGTCTCAAAGTAATAAGCAAGGAGAGAACTAGATAGACTCCTTGCCTGGAGCATACTGTAGTCAATCTCCTGTATGTAAAACAGAAAGAAAGAGGAAATGAAACTGTGGTCCATGCTTATCATCCCAACTGTGGATAATCTTGAATTCTAGTCCATTCTGAACTACACAGCAAGACCCTGCAAAGAGAGAGTGGGGGAGAGGGAGAGGGAGGAAGAGGAAGAGGGAGAGAAAGAGAGAGGGAGAGGGAATTAAAACCAGAAATGTAGGTGAACATTTCCTTGACATCATCGTCACTGTAGCAAGGTGTGAAATGCATCTCTATGTGACTGAGGGTCACTATTCTTTAATGTTTGCAGAGTTTCTGCAATCAGCTAGTGAATCATTAGTACCAGAGGGGAGAAGAGTCTGCGCAGCTCCGGCTCTTAGTTTCGAACACACCTTCAGGTCAGGGAGGTAGGGTTCCTTGGAGAACTGGCTAACTATAGGGCTGGGCTAGAAGAGATACAGGTGATGCTGCGGCATTTTGGCAGGTCACAAAGAATGAATGCACTTGAACCAAAAACAACATGGGGAGAAAAACTAAAAGCTCCTTGCTGGAAAAAAACAAATGGAATAACAAAGTAAATAATCACAGTGCTGGATTATCACTCAGGGTTTAAAATAATTAATCAGGCATTCATGCTCATGTAAACAAATGCCTGGATGAATTGGTAAATTCTTGTGCAGATTTCTAAATAGTTTGTGTAGGTACCCCATCCTTGAGACCATGGAACACACCTTATTTCTCTGTGCGTAGAAAGAAGACCGGCCAAATGGTTGAGTGATGATGCTTGCTGTTGGTGGGACTACAGAGAGACGTTCTGCACATTGCGGGGTTGACGTGGGAACGGCCTCTGGCAATGAGGCTGGCAGCATCTGGAATATGAACAATGATCACACTTTTAACTGGTCTTCTGTACTAAGAAAGCAGCAACACGTGCTTGGGTGAATTTCTCACATCAGTGTTACTCACAGCAGTAAATTTCGGGGGAAATCTAAGAAATGGCCTAGAACAGGAGGATAGTAAACTGTGTATCGCCTGGGGCAGTGGATGCCCTGAGTTGCTCACTGAGTGTGGGGAAGACACCCAGCCTTTCCCCTGTTCTTTCATTGTTCTGACCTGATGCCCAGATAGAGAAAACATACCTACCAATCAGAGAGTAGCAGCCCCCTGCCTCTCTTGCGTGGAGGTCAGAATACAACTTACAGGAGTTGGTTCTGTTCTTCCACTATGTGACTTATGGACATTGAACTCAGGTCACGAGGCTTGACAGCAGGCAGCTTTAGCCCACATTTGGCTTCTTAAACCTTCATGCTGGAAGCATCCGGCTACTCCAGGATTTACCATACACTCCCAGAAACCGGACTGCTTCATTACCCCTAGCTCCCAAATACATTCCTCCCGTCCCTATTGTCCAGACAGCTTCTGTGCATCCTCTAAGACCAGAGCCAGCTATCACCTGCCAGAATCCGCTCTGGGTACCCTCCTTGTGCCACTTGCCCTCAGTACCTGTTTCTGGTTTTGAACCTACACTCGCTCCTGGCGGTCTCCTCCCCTGTCTCTCTCTTAGAGTCTGAGGTCCTAGAGGGCAGGTATTATGTTTCCTTCATCCCTGACTCCCACACAGGCAGACTCTGAGGAGGTGCTTGGTCAAGGTTTGCTGAACTTTTGTTAGATTTCTAAGCAAGGCCTTTTCCTTTTTTCCCACTGTAAGTGTAGGGCCTGAAGACTCAATGGGGTGTTCCCCTCATTTTCAAATTATCCTATGCTTAAAATCAGTGGGTACACAAAAATAACAGGAGAACAAGAACTAGATCTGTGGCCCCAACCCTGAGTGGCCAAGCCAAGGTGTCCCCGTCCCCTCAAGTGGCCAGGGCCACTCTTAGATTTTGCTTCCTACCTGCTATTTACCTGTTGATTTTCTTTCTTCCATTCCCAGGAGAAAAGGATGTTGTTATTTTAGGGGATTTTGGCCAAGGGCCAGATAGCAATGACTACGATATCCTAAGGAGAGAAAAATTCCACCACTTGGTCCCGGCTCACACCTTCACCAACATCAGCACCAGGAATCCCCAAGGCTCCAAATCAGTGGACAACATCTGGATCAGCAAAAGCTTAAAGAAAGTGTTCACAGGTAGGGGAAGTGTCCCCCGCATTCTGCCACCCCATGCCGTCTCTGTTCACTAGTGGGCTGTGGACCTATAAGCATCTGAGGTGACCAATACTGTCTTCCCTCTTCCCCAGATACTTACAGGGTTATGGTAAAAGAAACACTGTCATTGCTTGGTCAGAGACACATCCAAGAGGGAAGGGCAAGTGACAAGCAATAAGTAATGTAAAGGTAACCATTAGTTCGTGTAAGCACTTTACAGGGAAACCCGGCTGTAGTCACCTCTGAAGGCCATCGGGGTCATGATTCAGAGATGAACTGATAACTTACCTAGATGATAAGTACGCTTAGTCATTCAATGAACACCGTCAACTATTCAAATGCTGTGCTGTGGAATGAGGTATACTACACTTTCAGGGGCGAGGAGACATGTCACTGTTAGTATTTCTGTCACTGTGACAAATATACCCAAGATAACCAGTGTATAAGGAAGGAAGGTTTACGGTGACTCATAGTCTCAAAGGCTTCCATCCATGGTCCCTGGGCACGGCTGCTTTTAGTCCTCTGGTGAGATAGCACATCGTGGTTGAGATTTGTGTGCACTGGTGGAAGGTACCTGTGTCAGGAATCATGACTTCGAGCCATTCTTTCACCTGCCCCCTCCCCTCATCACCTCCTAAAGCAGCCAGAAAGGAAAGGGAAGAATCCAGGGAGGGCTCGAGTTCAGTGGCTTAATTTTCCCCACCCCTCAAACTTCTGCCAGCTCCCACTACTCCCATCGTCTGGGGACCAAGTCTACAACACATGAGCTTTATGGAACAGTTAGGAACGAAATCAGAACACATAGTATCACAGCAGGCTGGGAGAAGGGCTCAGAGCTCCACAAGGAACAGAGCATGGTGGATATGCCGCCGTTCCTCAGACTGTGACCCCCAGAGCCGGGAGACAGCCAACTTATGGAAGAACGGTAGGTTCTTCAGTGTGAAAGGGTGCTGCTGCAGATGGAAGGGGCCATAGGGCCTTCAGAGGCTCAGAATGCTGAGCACCATCCCCTGACCTGCAGGGGGTGGGGTCTTTGATGACAGACAAGCATGGCCTTCTCAGCCTCTCCTGACACTTTGCAGAACCCCAGTGCAAGGCGTCTTGTACCTCAGTGAGGGACTTAAACAGGAAAAGAAGCAGTTCCTGGGTTCCACTGCAACGCGCACTACCACACAGTCAGGGCCCAGCTCCTTGGAATTTACAATTTTCAGTGTGGATGACTGTGTGGCCTGCACTTTCTTCTCTCTGGACACCGGTCTCCTACTGGGCTCCAGTGGGCATTGGCTGTCCGATCTGAGGCAGGATGTAGTTTACAGAAGTGCTTTGGAGGCCAGGGCCTACTAGATTCCCTGGAGGACTCTTGTAGGAAGCGTATCTATTAGGAATAGTGAATCTGAACCATCCTTTCCTCTGCTCCCACCCCCACCTCAAGGTGTGTAAGCTGAGGTATAGGGACAAGGTCCCTCACTACACAGCTGTCAGATATGGTACCCAGGCCCTTCAGATCTTACATTAACCCTGACGTCACGTATCACAGAGGACTGCAACAGTGCCTTGTAATCATTTTGTTGTTTTCGTATATGATTCTAGCTCATGTATTTCTGTCTTTACTTCAAAGGTAGCATTGCTTTTCAGCAGCCACTCTAAGTTTCTCTTTTCCATCCTTTCTCTAGGAAGAAGTTGTCCCTCTAGACCCTCTTAAGTGATTGTTTGCTTTGTGAAGCAAGTCTTCAGTTGGCTCCATCAAATACTCATTTGTTGTTAGCAGAGGAGTGCTTACTTAGTATATGGGAGGTCCTAGATTTAATCCCTAGCACTGAAAAAAAATTAATTAAAAATACTAATTCAACTCAGTTTATAATAAAAAAAAACAAGGGCATGATGTTGGGAGGGAGATGTATTTGGGGGATCAGTGGGTTTGGGGAGAGTGGGATAGATATGAATAAGACACATTGTATATATGCATAGAAATGTTAGGAATAAGCTAAAATATTAACAAAAATAATGGTAAAAAAAAGTCACTTAGTTTGGTTGTCCATATTAGTGTCAGGTGTGAGCAAGGAATAGGTCCTCCTGCATACTGTTTGACTAGACAAGGGGCCTGGTTTCTGAGTGTGTTCAATGCCTATGTGAGAAAACTGCCATCTTCTATGTTGTGTGAAGAGTAAGATAAAATTGGCCATGGGCTTTCATTTGTGCAGGCCAGCTTACCAAGGAAGGCCACCAGGGCACCTCGACTTACAGAGGAGCAGGCTGATCAGCCCTTGTCCTAATTCTTGGTCTCCTCTCTCTCTCCAGGTCACTGGGCTGTTGTGAGAGAGGGTCTCACAAACCCGTGGATTCCAGATAACTGGTCCTGGGGTGGAGTAGCTTCTGAGCACTGTCCTATCCTTGCTGAGCTGTATATGGAGAAGGACTGGAGCAAGAAGGAAGTCCCCAGGAATGGCAATGGAGTCACCTTAGAGCGAAGTGAGGCCAACATCAAGCACGAGCGATGATGACATCACCGCTTTCACCCTCTGACTCAGGAGGGCAAAGGAAGGAGCTTGGCACTACAGGGTGAGAAGATCTGGGGCCTTTGAGTCATCATTCTGAGGACCTTGGTCTGGTCCCTGGGCCACTGCCTACTTTGTGAACACTTTAGAACCTCTCCTGAGGGGAGCCTGTCAGGTGCTGGCTATTTCAGGCACCAGGGCGAAGCTGGCTGGAACGGCAACGTCTTGAGGCTGGGCAGCTGAGTTCTGGCTTGGGGCGGGGGTGGCGCTGCCGGCTGCATTGCATGGGGGCATGAGAACAGCAACGGAGGTGGAGTGGAGGCGGGGCGATGGCTATCAGTGCTGTCTCGCGGGGATGCCATGTTCTGCCTACCAGGTCCAGGAAGCTTTTAACTGTGATGGAAGCACTTCTCAAAGATTTTTAGTTTTGTTTTGAAAAAAATAATTAATAAACATTATTCTGACTGGCTGCAGTAAGGGTATGGGCTGGGTGCCTTGCTCTGTCACTTTAATCCATCCTCCCTGTGGGCCATGGCTACCCACTCGCAAATGCCTTCTTCTACCCTGTCCCTTTATGTCCCTACCTGAGACCCTACTTTCACATGCCAATCATCCTCATTATCTCCTCCCTCCCAGCTTCTCCTTCATCTATACTTCATCAGATTTCCTGGGAGGGCCACTTAGCTTTAGTGTGGGACAAGAATCCTATCAGAAACACCCATTTCCTCCCACTTTCCACCGTGTCCTTAGTCAGAGCTTTTCCTCTGCTGATTCTGACCCGACCTTTGTATCAGCAGATTCTGCACTACAGAGCCAGCAACCACAGAGGAAAACGTATCTTTAAATTGTGTCTGTGCTGAACAAATACAGTTCCTTGTCATCATTCCCTAAATGATACAGCCTAACCATTTTATAGGATTTACATTGTCTTGGAGGTCTTCATATTGTTTGGATGGTTTACCGTGTGAGAAGATGTGAGAAGGCAATATGCAAATACTGTACCCTGTGTAAGGGACTTGAGTATCTTGGGACTTTGTGCTTGAGAAAAAAGAGGCTGGGAACCAGTTCCCTATGGATATTAGGGAATGATTGCCGATTGAGGGTGTGCAGGAGGCTAAACGAGAATAAGGCAAGCAAGAATAAGTGAACTTGTCTGAGGCCCGCTTATTAAGTATGTATCTAATTATTCTTTATCAATAAAAACTTGGGGTTTTTATTGGGGTAAGAATCTGAATGATTAGAGGTGGCGGAGAACCAACCAATGACCTTCTCTCTCTCCTGTTCCTTGATTCCAAAAGGCCAAGGCTCTCTCTAAGTCCCGCCCTACCACTTCCTGTGTCTCTCTTTCCTCAGTCCTTTAATGACTGATTTTGGTCAGCTCGTTCCACTCTCTGATACAGAGCAAACTTTATTGCCAGTCTCAAAAGCATCAGAATGCAGTCAGAATATCACATAACACCCTTCTCTGAGCCTGAGCCTGTTTGCCTTAGGCACATCGTACAACAGTTACAGTGACTCCAGGGTTATATTGCCCATTTCACAGCTCCTGACAGTTACACAACTAGTAAGTAAATAAGTGGATTCAAACCCAGGATTCTCTGGATCTAAAACCCACTCACAATGTCAACTCTACACTTAACATGTATGTAAAGTAATAAAAATAAAGCATAAATCTTAGTCTTACATTCTCTAGGTCATTCCCATTTCCTGTGGACTAAGGGTGTATTATCTTTTCTACACCAAGTGCAGTGTGACCCAAGACAGAGAACCTGTCCCTGTCACTGAGCAGTGTGTCTTCACTCCTGTCTTGTCAGCTTTGTCTGGAGAGCTGTGAATAATGCATGCTTACCACCAACAGGCCCAAATCTAGCTTGGTGAATGAGGAACTTGAATTTACTTACAGGAGCATGGGGGACTTAGAAGCAGCTACACCACTGAAGAAAAGCCTTTATCTTTGGGAGGAGGGGTGGAGCCCCCCATGAGGTTTTATGTGTCACCTCTGAGCGAGTCCCTTGTGGGCTGCCTTGTGTAGCTTGTGAACCCTTGCTAAGGAGTGTGTCCCATCTTGTGAGGGCCTTGCGTAAGCAATCATAGTGCTGTGATTTCAGAGTACCATTGGCCATGTCATGACTGTTCACCACAGGCTTGAAGTGATAGCCGCTGGCCTGCAGCCACATCATTGCTTTCTTTGCTTCTGACATCAGACCCCCAGGAGCAGGGCCCGCAGGCCATTGCTTTTATTCTAGGCCCTCTTGGTTTTGGTTCTGATTTGGACTTTTTTGTTCTACTTTTTAAAAAATTAGTAACCTTCAATTTTAAGAGCTATTTTTGTGATATAGGAAAACTGACACAAAAGATAGTTTAATAGCATCCCCAATTTCTTATTGACATGATTTACAACAGGGCAATTTGTTTCAATTGCTGTGCCAATGCTGACACATTACTAAAGTCCACTGTTCACCTTGGATCCACTCTGTTGTGCACCCCATGCCTATGACAAGCATACAGATTCACCTCAATTTACTGTGAGATTACTCTCCAGTTAAGCTCCAGATATAACAGGTAGGAATAGCTGTCATATTAGTTAGAGTCGTAAAACATCACAACCAAAAGCAACTTGGAGGAGAAAGGGTTTATTTCAGCATACTATTTTTAGGTCATAGTCTTCACTGAAAGAAGTCAGGACTGGAACTCAAAAAAAATGGCAGGAACCTGGAGTCAGGAACTGGTGCAGACGGCATGGAAGAGGGCCACCTCCTGGCTTGCTCCTCATAGCTTGCTCAGCCTGCTTTCTTATAGCACCAGGACCACCAGCCCAGATGGCATGACCTTCAATGGGCTAGGCCTGCCCAGCCTCACTGAGAGGACTAGATGTGTATCACTGGCAACTCAAATTTCAAAGCATTGTTTCTGGTACCAGAATGCAGGCCAAAGTCTAAAACATCCCAACAGACCAGGCTCAGGGACACATCCCAGAAAAACAGCCCAAGGCCCACAGTCCTGAAAGCAAGTAAGAAGCATAACACAGTGGGAAGAACGGAGTAAAGACCCGAAACCTGGTTCTTGAGCACTCACTGTGATCTCAAAGCTCTGCAGGAAAGCAGGGAGGGTGGTAACTACACTTCCCCTGCAGTGGTCCCGATTGTCTTAGTCTGCCAGTGGTTTCCTTGGGCCCTCTCTCAGGGTCCCCATCCAGAGCTTTGTGCAGCACCACTCGCTCTGTTGCCTGGCAGGAGTGGGAGCGGGAGTTGGTTCTTTGTCTTAAGATGTTTGTCTGCCAGGACTTTAGTTCTTGTGAGGCAAAGTAACCGGGGGGGGGGGGGGGGTGGGGTGGGGTGCTGGAGGAGGAGATGCACTTGGTGTGAGGGAGAGGTGGGTGCTCCGGAGCTCGGAAGGAGGAGCTGAAGTGAGATGGGACTGCTATCAACTCCATCAGATCCCCATCAAGCCATCACATTTCAGCAGGAGGAAGCTGAAGGTAGAGCACCCCCCCCCCATTTCTACCAAATGCGAATCATTCTTAGACCATCCTAAAGTCAACCCCTAAGTCAAACGGTAAGCGGGACCATTTGTAACATGGCACATAGCACATTACAGCTTCACAAACAATACTTTTCCATGCTGTCTTAGGGTTTCTATTGCTGTGATGAAACACCATGACCCAAAAGCATGTTGGGGAGGAAAGGGTTAATTTGGCTTACACTTCTACAGTGCTGTTCATCATCATCATCGAAGGAGGTCAGGGCAGGAACTCACACAGGGCGGGATCCTGGAGGCAGGAGCTGATGCAGAGGTCATGGAGGGGTGCTGCTTACTGGCCTGCTTCCCACGGATTGCTCAGCCTGCTTTCTTATAGAACCCAGGACCACCAGCCCAGGGATGGCCTTCCCCCACCTCCATCAGTCACTAATTATGAAAACACCTTACAGTGGGATCTTAAGGAGGCATTTCTCAATTGAGGTTCCCTCCATTCAGATAACTCTAGTTTGTGTCGAGGTGGCTTAAGAGCAGCAAGCACACACACCTTGTAGCTTGTGGAGACCACCCGTCTGTCTTCACAGTTTTACCTTTGCCAGCTTCATAGATTTGGAATCATACAGAAAAGAAATTTTCAAAGTAACCTTTTCTCCCAGCCAAATGCATTTGACATTTTTTCTTTCCTTCCTTTCTTTTTGGTGTGTGTGTGTGTGTGTGTGTGTGTGTGTGTGTGTGTGTGTGATTGTGTGTGTGTGTGTGTGAGAGAGAGAGAGAGACTTAGAATTCTCTCTCTCCCTCCCTTCCTTCCTTCCTCTCTTTTCCTCTTCCTCTTCTCTCTCTCTCTCTCTCTCTCTCTCTCTCTCTCTCTCTCTCTCTCTCGTTAAACTATATCCCCCAGTATGGAACTGATCTGCTTTCCCTTGAACTGACTCCTTCTAAGCCTTGTCCTCTCTGGTGTCCTCCCAGTTCAGCCTTAACTTTGTCTATAATCACACCATTTGGTTTCCTCCTGTCCTTCTGGTTATTTTTTTTCTGTGCCTTCCAGCACTGCCAGAGAGTCAGAGAAGCCTACCTGTGAAGGATTTCAAGGGAGAAGCAAATGGGGGTCTTTGGACACTAACCTAGGTTTTTGGAAGTAAAGCTATTAGGTACTAGAGTAGCTCTTAAAGTCAGCAAGCACCCAGTGGAAGCCTCCAGAGTTTTCCAACTCCCCCATTATTGGTACATCTCAGTGGACTATGCTCTCCCTGCCTGTTATCGGGAGAGTGGAGCCAGCTTCGTTTCTGTTAGGAGGCACTTTGCAGCCTGCAACCACAGCTATGCTGCTGGCTTTAGTCAGAACTTATTCTGTCAAGAAGCCAAGGAAGAATGACTGAGGACAATCAGATTCCCTCCTGGCCTATGAGATGGTTCTCTCCCTAGGGATCCAAAGGAAAGCAAAAGCAATCGGTGCCCTTCAGACACACTTTTTTTTGAGTTCCTTTGAATTGGGCCTGCTTCTCCTCTTGTGCATAGGCAGGGAAGGCTGGAAAGACAGAAAACTACTGAGTCCCAGGCCAGGAAAGGAGCCCCCCTCTCTGGAGTCTCATTGAAGCATCTTCAATGAGAATCAAGGATTCCTGCACAATTAACATTTACTATGAAGGCTACCAACATAAAAGAAGTATTTAATAATTGAAATGCCAACATAGCAATAAGTCAGTTTTAAGATATGAGTGTGTATGACCTATGACCTTGAGTAGAGCCCTAACTCTCCTAAGTATTTTCTGAGAAGCTCAACAAAACTATTACCCTTTTTTCTTAAAAAATGAAAATATCCTACCTGCCATGTTGCTCACGGAAGCATTCTACCAAGAATGAAGACAATCTAAGGAGATGCCTTTGCCTCTTTTACTGGGGGAGGGGGATTATTGGATTATTGAGACAATGGACTCTTCAGAATTGGAAATTCCCCAGAAATCTCATACCAGGAGGAGGAAAAGACTGAAGTCTGATGCCAGTCCACTGGGAAGTTTTCCTCTTGGGAAATGATTTACATGGCATGCCAGCTTGTGGAGATTGGAGTGGAGACAGTAACAGGACCACGCCTTAGCTGGGCCAGCTTACTTGTGAATACCCCTTCCCCTCTACTTGAACCTCATGTTAGGATCCTGAAAATGCGCTAGGGTAAGAGAGGTCACTAGACTTCTTTGTTCCTTTTCCCAGTGTTACCACATTATCTTCTTTTTTCCTTTTTCTTTTTTTGCTATTACTTTGCTTCTGTAAGAGGCCCATTGAAGGCAGTTGTCAAGCCCATGTGGTTAGGACTTCCAGGGCCCAGACTCTGACCTGAAAAAACTCCAGTAACCATTTTGGTGAGCCAAGCAGGAGTCAAACCCACATATCCTACAACTCCGGCAATGCCTGTGTCCTTAGATGCTAAAGTTTTCCCTATTCATTTAATATTGTCAGCTATACCCCAGGAAGCCACCCTGTGATCTCATTTGAATCGCTTAGCAACACAATGAGCTGTAGAAACTACCCACATCCTAACTGTGATAAAGACAACAAAGTACAAATCCCTTTGAGATGTCCGCACCCATGCTCTTGGGTGTGTCTTCCTTGTCTTCTGAGTGCAGCTCTTGCTATCAGCTTCTGGTCATAACCTGTTAAGAACACACCCAATAAGCTCCTGCGTCTACTTGCCTTCTGCTTGCTTGGTTTGAAATGCTTTTCTGTGGCAAAGCCAAGATCTGCTATTACCTGAGTGGTGCTTCCTAAGTGATGGCAGGACTTGATTTGCAACCGGAACCCTGAAGGAGTATGGACATGAACACCAGATGCAGCTCAGCCTAAGAGAACAGCTATGAGGATTGGACGAGCATCTGTAATCTGATTCTAAGGAAAGACCCCCATAGGGTGCTTTCAAGGGTGACACAGAATTCTGAGAGATCTGAGAATGAACCCAACAATCGGGCTGATCCGTTTTCACATGCCACATCCCTGTCCATCTCTCCTTGGCATTCATTTCATTACCATATGTTTATGCCCAGTGTAAATTTAATACTCCAATTTGG